AAATAAACATTTTAACCCATGAAATGTCACATAGATGGTACGCTTGGTACACTGGTACAAACGGTTTTAACAACACAAAGCTAAGCTAACTGACTGCTTGAAATTGTATTTGTTTTAGACATTTTAGAGACATGAGTGTTGGCAAGCTCTTGGCTAAAAAGTAATTCAGCATATTCTCAAACACTTTCTTAAAGTTAGCCCAAACCATTTAAAATAAGGTACAAACTATGAACACTACGAACACGTAACCTGTCAAATATATCTTGCTAACTCTCATAGCTGGTTAATATTAGAAATCTTAAAATAGTTGGCAAGTGAACCAATTAGGAGTTGGCAATGAGAATCATTCTGTCTCTCAGCCCTTTTGTCTTTTAATCTCCAAAATGTACCCGAAAACAAATACACTCCTTTTGTCTTGGTGCGGTCTCCCTTGTGTAAAGAGAATCTTGATCTCACTGAAGCTAACCCAGAAGATTAATTCACCGTCACCTCGCCAGTGGGCTACCACTGCTTGGCCACTTTGGGCCACTTGCCGGCTGGACTTTGGGAGCTCCTGGAAATGCTGCCTCAGATCGCCCCGCAGCGCTGGCTGAGCTCCAGCTGACAGGCTTCGGCCTAGTGCTCTAATGACTTACAGATTGGAGCGCTGTGGTATACATGTGTCAGGACAATGCCATGGGCCTGCTGCAAAAACAGTAGGAGAGGGAGAGAGAGAGAAAGAGAGAGAGCCAACGGCTTCTCCCCGTCCTGTCAGACAGAGGCTTGGCCCCTGGATTGTGTCACATCACGCTTACCCCCAACAGACCACAAATGAAGGATGTGAAGAGCAAATGTGGGGAGGAGGGGCGCTCGACAACTTAAAAGGCTTTCATCCTGTAAACTGAAAAGACATTATCTTTTGACCTGGAGATGCCCTCTGTGAGGCTGTACACTGTGGTGTGAAAACAGAGAGAAAGAGAGCAAGGGAGAGGAGGAACAAAAGGAAAGCAGCAGAAGAAAAAGTGTGGATTGTGGCTTCAACTGGTAATAGTACAGATAAAAGAATCGTCGGCTGGAAATGTTTTGAAGCATTATCAGTCGATTCTCTGTGTCTGAAGAATAACAAGTGATGCACCTTTGACATCATGGAAATGTTCAATGCTACTTTTATCAGCAAATAGTGAACAGTGTGTCTTATTTCAAAAGAAAAGGCCATCACTTTATTATAACACATATAAAAAACAATGAAACCCAAAGTATACAGATGTTCTTTTAGGTTCAGATTGCTACAAAAGACACTTTAAGATGAAACAAAACTCTCAATAGTAAGTAATCCTTTTCCTACCCTTCCCTCATCAGCTCTGGATCTGGCCGTTCATGTATTCTCATTTCAGAACAAAAGACCATCCCTTTATTACAATAAGTATAAAAAACAATGATACCCAAAGGATAGAGACACTCTTTTAGGTTCAGATTGATTCAAAATAAACGTCTTTAAGATGAAACGAAGCTCTCAATAAGTGACGTTATCATTTTCCTACCGTTCTCTAGACTATCAGCTCTGGATCTGGCGGTTCATGTGTTCTCATTACAATCAGCGCAGATGCACTACAGTCAGCAAGCAGTCAATGTGATTCAAGCAGCGTCCATACAGGGAACTTCAGCTGGCTGCACGCCATACCTCACACTGTACTGGTGACATGAATAATGAAGGCCAATCTCAGGCACAATCCTGGATGGGAAACAAGCATAATCTGGGTTTTACACAGAGCAGAGACACCATGTTGACACAACATCTTCATCCCAGCTGAATGCCACATAATCCCCTGTAGGAGGCGGATACCTACCTGGGATCTCTCCCAATGAGGTTGTAGTTAACCAGCGAGGCTCGGAGCGCAACGCCTCAAACGAGCTTCAAATCCCCCTCCCCCCCTTCTCCCACCTCGGTGCTGGTGGACTATCAGCGAGGGTCCGACAGTGTTGTTCCTAATTACCTATTTCTCCACTCCTGATCCTGCGGCTGGCATAATTAGTTACCTGGGGCTGCAATCCAATTTGAAGTGATGACAAGAAAGTGATCCATGAAAAAGTAATAAGTTAAATCCAATTTCAGCCTGCCTCTAATTAAATGCACATGGAACTAATGAGTCAAACCCTACCATTTCACTGATAATGGTAATTAGCGGGGTGGGAGTTGCCGGCTCTCGTCGCCGTGCCGCTGTAGGTGTGAAGCGCAGAGAAAAAGTAAAAGCGGCATGGATTCCTTTAATCACATGTGTCCTTCAGTCAATGTAATTTACTGGCTTTTTGACCAGTCAAGTATGTTTAGCTGCTTTCCTGCCTGCCTAGCAGCTGTTTGTATATTGAGCCTGATTAAAGTGCCTCTAGGCTGCCGAGTACACAGCGGAGGCATCTTCATCCAGAGGCAGAGGTGGGCGGTGTGTGGGGGGGGCACCCCTGTTGGAGGAATAAAACCAAAGAGCCATTTAATGCTGATCAAGGATCCTGAGGCTTGTTTGACTCGTATTTTTACCCTCCTTTTACCACTCTACGCAGGTCCATTTTTCCTCTGTACATACTGCGCTTCATTATTTTTCGACTTGAATGAGAATGAATTGGAAAGTGAGTCACATCTCCAAATGAGTAAAAGTCTCTCGGCACATCTCCTCGTGCCTAATGGGAAGACCGCTGAGATGAATGGAGCACCTGTCCGCAGATCAGGTGCTTTTATGGGGTGTCAGCACACAGCCACGTAATTGTTGGATCATGTCTTTTGATGACCCAGCCCGGCTCAACAGAGAATCATTATCCCGGCCGTGTGATGCATAGTGGATGTTCTGTGTGAAGGGGGCTCCTCTAGGCACGGGGTTTGTTCTTAAAAGAGGAAGTGAGATGAAGGAGATGTGTTTTGTGAAAGGGAGAAAACAAGAGGAATCTCAACACCACAAGTGAAGAAAAAAACAAATGCAATCCATCCTGATGTTTATGTATGAGCGCTTGGCTTTTTAAAAACTGTGTATGTGCATGTGGCGGAGGTTGTGTTTAATTAGCAGAATATGTAATTCCGAGATAAACAAACACTTGTCTGGACCTGTGGCTTTTTCATAATGGCGAAATGTAACATGCAACATAAGAGAGCAGCCAATTTGCGGATACTACAGCAAGCTGGTGCTCTCTTCACAAGAACCGAGCGATAGAGGGGAGAGGGGGGGGGAGAGGAAGCCAGGGAAAGGGCCCGACTCTCTTTTCAATAGCTGAGTGACAGCTTGGCCAAGCTCTCTGTATACATTAATAAATTAGTATTTTAATTTTGTCTTTGTCTGCAGGAGATGGTCTAGTACTTCACTATGTACCAACAACTGGCTGTACGCTGGAATCTGCCGTTGAGGGTCCCCTCTGTTGACCTCTGCAGCACAATTCCCTGGCAGGCTGGGGAAACAGTTTAGTTTTGATCCTTTCGACTTATTTGAATCCTGACAAATATGCACACAACTGAAAGGTCATCACAGTCATACTTCATCCTCTGGAGCTATTCCGAAGACATCTGCACAACAAAGAGGCTTTTTCACAACCTGACATTAGACCTAGCTGCTACAATAGCTCATTAAAAAGGGGCCCCAAAGGGATAGTAAGGGTATTAAATATTATATATATACACACATAGAGAACGGGGCCTCCGTATTAATTACCAAATATGCCCTGAAGTCGTTTGCAATTTCACACCGACACAAACAACCTCTCCTTGTTCAAACAAAGATATACATGTCTGAGGCAGCTGATCTGAAATTAACGTAAATATTGCATCAGATATCCATTCATATTACAATCAGAGGCAGATGACACAAATAAAGAGATTTTTTCCCCCTGTTTTTATTTGTGCATCACAAAGGCATCCATCCTACAACTTCTCTAACTGTCCCCACTTCTCACACTTTGCCTCCCACTATTTCACCTCCGAACCCTCCACCTGGATCCCCCACCCCACCCATGGGCTGCTCCATAGCACCTCCTGCTGCTGATGGTAGAGACCTGCCCCCCACTCATTTCTGCGTGGGATGTGTATGGAGCAGTGCTGACAGGCAGACAGGATAAGCATGGCGTCTCTGACTGGAGTTGTTAGCCAAGCTGTGCAACTACAAAACTGAGTCCGCTCATACACACCTGAACTTTTGAAAGAACATCCATAACATTCATCTGTTTGCAACTTATATCAATATTCAAATGACTTGTAAATAGAATATTCTGCACTATTTCTATGATATTTGATTTACTTGCACTATTATCTGTTTTATTGTGTGGCACTGTTGGAGGAGCCTGTGACTTAAGATTGTCATTGTCATAACTACACTGTAGCTGTGTACACATGACAATAAAAGCCTTGAATCTGAATCACAGGTATTTATGAAATGTGGATTTTTCTTGTGTTGTTCTTTGCAAAGATTCCTGTCCACACCAGCACTGTTTCAAGTCATCGCAAAAACACAATTGACACCATGACAAGAAATCTCACCTCATTTGAGAGCCCTCATAATGGATATAAGAATGCATTGCCACTACGTCTACGTCTAACTGCAGTGAATACGGAAAAGGCTCTTCCACTTCAGAAGTCAGGATCAACCACACACGCTGATGTGTGTTACTGCACTGGAATGAGCTCATGTGATCTAATCTGGCCACACAGAGGCTTCTCCAACAGTCTGGCCTACAGTATATATTTCACAACAGCATCCCATCCTACATACCGCTGCTTCAAGTCAAGAATGAGATGACGCATTCTTTGATAGTGTGTGTGCAGCTTAATCACACATAACGCTGGAGCGTACACAACTGCAAATGTTGCACAGCCAATTTGAATTTCCTGTTTGCGAACTTAGCCCAGTGCTGTGCTTTTTCCCTGCACACTGTGCTCTAGTGAGAGTTGCATAAGTTCACATCGTGTTTTTTATGATCAACCACAAAAGGCGAATAACAGAGCAATCTGATAATCGCAAGTAAATAAATGAGAGAAAGTCTGACGGTACCTGAAGGCTCTGCTGCTTGTCGTTGGCTTTGGGGGATTTGCGACCAGTGATTTGTTGCAGTTGTTGTTGTTGTTGCTGTTGTTGTTGTTGATGCTGCTGGAGGATTATCTGCCGAGCCACTTGGAGAGCCTAATAAAGAGAAATACATTAAAAAGATTCAGTCAAATAGAAATCCTAGAAGCAGATTTGCTAAAAGTCCCTTGAGGACACTTTGATGCCTTAAGAGAGCAGATGTATCTCCTTACAACAATATGCCCTTGGCCTTCTGATGGATAACAAACAAACATTAAGAGTTTTCAGTTAGAGCTGGAATAAACAATCCCTGCACAAACACACCAGGAACAATGCTTAGATTAATTCACAGAGAGAGGGAAACAAATCCTCTGCTGAAGAAATATTTATCTGCATTTACAAGTAAACACAAAGACACCATCAGTGCGTTTGATCCTCCTTTAGCTCGGTCAAACTCCCCAAATAAAAGGCTTTACGGCCGCTTTGAATATCTGTTAAAGGACACGGCCTTCTCAGTGGAAAACAAAATACAGTGCAGTCACATGTTTATTGCTCCAGCTACTCCCTTTTCCCTTAAGATAAATAATCAAACATGCCATCCAGAGCAAACAAAGCTGGAGAGAGCCGGGGGGAAAAAAACACAGTAGGTCTAGAAAACGGTCAGCGATACCAAGAAAAGCAAGCGTTGTGTTCCCACAGTGAGCTGGCCTGCCTCACACCTCCACCAGTAAACCATCTGGGTAAATAACCGGCCTCATTCTTTCCGTGTTCCTCAGACGATTGCTCCCACAATTAAACAAACAGCCGAGCTCATCCCGCAGACAGACAAGCTCCCCGAGTCTATTATATGAGAAGTTCAGAAATTGTAAATGGCAGAATGATTGAGAAAGATAAGCACAAAGAAAAAGTTGGAGCGACGTGTGAACAAGTGAGCGAAACCTGTGTGAAAGTGAGATATCTTCAGGGAAAGGGCAAATGGAAAGCTCTGTGGACGGATGGAAAGATAAAGATAGGTCTGAGAGTCGGCCTTAGTGCGGGAAAAGTCTCACAATACTTTAAGACGGGGAGGCGAGAGACAGTTAGGGTTTGGAGCCAACAGCTGTACGACGGTCTGTGTGTGTGTTGACCCTCCCAAACACACGGCTGTCGGACGACATCATACATATGACCACAGGCTACAAAGAGGCCACACTCCTGGCATTTCACCATGCTTAGCTTTAAAGTGTTTAAACTATCTGTCTCTGTCTGTCTCGCTTTTTTTCTAAGCTGTTGTGTGAAGATAAATCACGTATAAGCAACGTAGCTCATTCTTCATGCCTCCGCTTTGAATTTGAGCGTGGGGGGAAGCCCCTTATGTAAGTACACTCATAAGGAAAGGGCACAGATTGAAATGATGTGAGAAAGACAATAGTCATACAGTCATATAGAACATGATGGTATTTTTTTTGGCACATAGTGAAACCTATAAATCATCACAACATCTCATATTTAAATATCAAAAAGATGTTGTCGAGCGTCATTAGGATTAACTTTATTTAATTTTTTGTATTTAGCATTTTATTTGGGAAGACGTTCAACGTCACTTCCACTCACAATAAAAGAAAATGTAAATAAACGATACAAATAAACACAGAATGAGACGATATTGGTCTCTGAATGCATTGTATTGTTGTTGACTAAAGAAAATACTAAAAAAGGTAAAACAATATTGGTGTTAATAATATGATTTGGGAGATGTGTAATTTTTTTAAATGACAATCTACCAAGAATGTTGTTGTTTTTTCATTGAAAGCCGCCGCGACATCATAAAGTGAGAACGAGAATCTCAATGACTCAATGATACACCCAGGGCGTGGTATTACGGGCACAATGAAGAGTACACATAGTGGCTGTTTTCTTTTCCTTGTAACTGATGACACATGCAGTACAATGTGTGTGTGTGTGTGTGTGTGTGTGTGTGTGTGTGTGTGTGTGTGTGTGTGTGTGTGTGTGTGTGTGTGTGTGTGTGTGTGTGTGTGTGTGTGTGTGTGTGTGTGTGTGTGTGTGTTGGAACTAAGACAGTTGAGTCAACAGGATATGATAGGAAGTTCAGACAATTGGATGAAGAAGTCTTTCTTCACTGTAATCTTCCTATGATGCAAAGCTAATCAAAAGCGGCATACTGTACTGTATATATGCTCAATGGTCGGTTACTATAAGTAAATAAGGTCATGGTGACATTGTTGACAAAGTGGGATGTTACAGAGTACAATCATATTTTAAAAATGACTAGCTAAAACGTTTTTCTTGGCAGGATTGTAAAATAACTAGTAGCCCAATTTCATTAAACTCGGTGGAAGGGTGTTGCATGCAAGTACATTTTTTGAGCAGATCCGAATCAGGCTGGATACAAAAATTATAACTAATGAACACACAAAATTCAGAAGAATGACATTCCAACACAGAGAATGGGATTATTGGATCTGTCCTTTGTGAGTGCAATCCTTGTTCCTTGTTCCATTATGTTACTAACTAACTGAAGACAAATATTCACGCCTATGTTTACCGTCTTTGGATATTTTCTTTGGTAACAATGGGAAAGTTAATTGAACATGGCATAATTGTATGAAAGATAGCCTTCTACGGTTCATGTCAACAACTTCATTGAATTAATCTCCCAATCAAAGTTAGGGCAGGTATTATGTGATCAATCACATGCCGTGAGTCTGAGTCCCTCACCCTGTTCCAGTCCCGCCTCAAAACCCACCTCTTCAACTCTGTATCCATAAGCCCCCCCCCCCCCCCTCTCAACCAACTTCCTCCTGACTGCTTTTCTGTTTTGTTTTCTTTCTTTGTGGTTTTGTTTTTGTTTTGTTTGTCTACCCTCCCTCCCAAATGCAAAGCGTCTTTGGGTTCAATAAAAGCGCTATAGAAATATAATGTATTATTATGATGCCTGCATATGGCGTCTCAATAACTCTACAAAGACACAAGATGAGTAAAGAATGTTGGTAGCAAGAAAGAACAAAAGGTGAGTGAGCTGAGAACCTGTGTTGTGAGGTCAACGCTCCACATTTAGGAATGTTGCCGTCATGTTTGTATTTTAAAAAGGCCACTAGAGCTGGCATGTCTTTGAGAGGCCTAATGCTAGGCTAAAATAATCTATTGTTAACTGTCACAGCGGTGTTTACACAGCACCCACTCCTCTATTTCAGAGCACTCCCCCTCCTCCTCCTCCTGGAGAATGTATCTTCTTTTGATCTTCCATTCAAAAGGTACTGGACTCTTGATGGATATGTAAGTGTTAGAGCTGCTACAGACTGATATGATAAACACATCTGATGTGAGGGATAAGGCATCTGAAGCACAGAGAAAGAGAGACAGCATGTTGTCTAGGTGCTAATCCAGATTAGGTGACAGATTAAGTTAAACTGATCAATTAAGAATGTTTGGATATTGATAACTACAGTCAGCCTATAGTGGCACCAATGGCATGCTAATAGTCATTTTGTGTGCTATGGCTACACACTTTTGTGTTGTCATTTCACGCTATGGCAATACAATAAGATGAGGGCAATGTGCTCTGAATGTATAGCGTGATGTAATAAAAGACGTAATGTATGGGTGGGTCAAACAAAGCCTGTTCGTGTCCCATAAAAACCAACAGTCAACAGTTGTTGGAACAAGTAACGAACGCAACTTTAACAACAAACATCTTTATTTGTACTCAAACCATGACCTTTTCCTAACACTAAACAAGAAGTTGTGTTGCCCTAATCTTATCAGGTAGGGATGTTTGAAATCCAGTTTTGTAACCATGTGTTAAAAACCTCCTCCATGATTCCATATGTGGCGGTTAACGCTGGCGAAATATTTTGTAACTTAATTTACGTAATTGTTTAAACCCAAACCGTAAACCTGGTGGTTTGTTTGAATTATCAATCATAGCCAAATGTATAAAACAGCAATAATGCATTCGTATGTGTTAAGTAAGGAGTGAGAACTACGTTAAATGATACGCACAAAAACGCAAAAACTAGACAAAATGGCTATTAATCTAATAAGATCATGTTGATACGGTAGATTGCCCCAATAACTATATATAGTTGCATGGTCACATGGACGTAATCATACTTTAACAAATTATATTGTATACTTTTTATTGCATTAAGAGTGAGTTATGGTATTAAACAGGATTTGTGATATCGTGTGTCTTGATACATACATTGGAGGTGTTTAAGTATACAAGACAGCAGCCCTATTATAATCCAAACTGAGGTTGTTTGGGAGGCAAGCTTGTCACTGGAATAAGAACATAAATGCAGATATATACGCCTACATCCCCCATCAGTGTTTCCGTATGTGTACATGCACACAAACACACACACCATGTAGGGAGTGAACCCTCCAGGTGCTTTTGATTAGAAAACAACCTCCAGCGCATGACAAAGGTTTTTATCAGCAACAAAGCCGGCACAATTTGGTATCCTTGTCATTTCCAGTACTCTTTTATATTCTGCATTTCAAATGTGTTCAAAGTTCACACCCTCTTCCCCTCGTTAACGCAACTTCCTCAATAAACAGGCGTTTTTTTATCTGCATCTACTTTCACACCATATTAACGGATAGAGGCAGGAGCGTCTCTTACGTCCCTGGGCTATCACGCTGTGATAAGGGAACTGCTAAGTACTGGATGTCTTTATGTGCAGTCTGCACATGTGGATTATTTACAGGCTTTGGGGTTTCCTGCTGCTAAAGCCAGCTCTGGGTGTCTTACAAATCCCAGCTCAAAGCATTGCCACACAGTCAAGTCTGCTCTTTGCCGAATCCCTCGCTGCACTACGACATAAAACAGACATATTCCAGATACGTCGCTCTTTAATCTCATTGAATGCAACTTTAACTGACCCACAACAAATCCAACTGTGAGTAACGGAGCGGGATCTGAGAGAATTTGCCTTAGCACTCGTGTCACATTCTCTAAATGACAGACGTATAAGAAAGGGGGTGTGAGCTGAGGTCACAAGAAGATATAGAGATGCTGTTAAATGCGTAGTGGGGAATCATTCAGGGTTTCTGGAGTGAGACGGTGAGGAATGGGCCACCATTGTTTGTTCAGTCCCATCAACAGAAAGACC